CCTTTGGCTTTGATCTTTATGTCGTCATTGTCTTCAGGAATAGTGCCAGAAGACTGGAGACTAGCAAATGTTGTCCCCTTGTTCAAGAAGGGGAGTAGAGACAACCCTGGTAATTATAGACCAGTGAGCCTTACTTCGGTTGTGGGTAAAGTGTTGGAAAGGATTATAAGAGATAGGATTTATAATCATCTGGAAAGGAATAATTTGATTAGGGATAGTCAACACGGTTTTGTGAAGGGTAGGTCGTGCCTCACAAACCTTATTGAGTTCTTTGAGAAGGTGACCAAACAGGTGGATGAGGGTAAAGCGGTTGATGTGGTGTATTTGGATTTCAGTAAAGCGTTTGATAAGGTTCCCCATGGTAGGCTATTGCAGAAAATACGGAGGCATGGGATTGAGGGTGATTTAGCGGTTTGGATCAGAAATTGGCTAGCTGTAAGAAGACAGAGGGTGGTGGTTGATGGGAAATGTTCATCCTGGAGTTCAGTTACTAGTGGTGTACCTCAAGGATCTGTTTTGGGGCCACTGCTGTTTGTCATTTTTATAAATGACCTGGATGAGGGCGTAGAAGGATGGGTTAGTAAATTTGCGGATGACACCAAAGTCGGTGGAGTTGTGGATAGTGCGGAAGGATGTTGCAGGTTACAGAGGGACATAGATAAGCTGCAGAGCTGGGCTGAGAGGTGGCAAATGGAGTTTAATGCAGAAAAGTGTGAGGTGATTCACTTTGGAAGGAGTAACAGGAATACAGAGTACTGGGCTAATGGTAAGATTCTTGGTAGTGTGGATGAGCAGAGAGATCTCGGTGTCCATGTGCATAGATCACTGAAAGTTGCCACCCAGGTTGATAGCGTTGTTAAGAAGGCATACAGTATGTTAGGTTTTATTGGTAGAGGGATTGAGTTTCGGAGCCATGAGGTCATGTTGCAGCTGTACAAAACTCTGGTGCGGCCGCACTTGGAGTATTGCGTACAGTTCTGGTCACCGCATTATAGGAAGGATGTGGAAGCATTGGAAAGGGTGCAGAGGAGATTTACCAGGATGTTGCCTGGTATGGAGGGAAGGTCTTATGAGGAAAGCTGAGGGTCTTGAGGCTGTTTTCGTTAGAGAGAAGAAGGTTAAGAGGTGACTTGATAGAGACATACAAGATGATCAGAGGATTAGATAGGGTGGACAGTGGGAGCCTTTTTCCTCGGATGGTGATGGCTAGCACGAGGGGACATAGCTTTAAATTGAGGGGTGATAGATATAGGACAGATGTCAGAGGTAGGTTCTTTACTCAGAGAGTAGTAAGTGCGTGGAATGCCCTGCCTGCAAAAATAGTAGACTCGCCCACTTTAAGGGCATTTAAATGGTCATTGGATAAACATATGGATGATAATGGAATAGTTTAGGTTAGATGGGCTTCAGATTGGTTTCACAGGTCAGCGCAACATCGAGGGCCGAAGGGCCTGTACTGCGCTGTAATGTTCTATGTTCTATAATGAGGTCAGGGCCCTGAGTGGCTGTGGCAGAATCCAAACTGAGGGTCAGTTAGCAGGTTATTGCTCAGAAGAAGCTATTTGATAGTATTATTGATGATCTTTTTCATCACCTTACTTATGATCTAGTGTAAACTGATGGGGTGGTAATTGGATCTGTCCTCCTTTTTGCGTTCAGAACATAGCTGGGCAATTTTCAACACTGAGTTCCAAAGGAGAGTCATGGCACTCAAAACATTAACTCTGTTTCTCTTTCCACAGATGCTGAGATTGTCTAGTAATTTCTGTTTTTTTTGTTTCAGATCTCCAGCATCTGAAGTACTTTGCTTTAATTTTCCACATTGTCAGGTAGATGCCAGTGATGTAGCTGTACTGAAGCAGCTTAACTTGGGGTGTGGCCAGTTCATTATTATTGCCAGAATGTTGTCAGAGCACAAAACAGACAAAAAAAAGCATTGGATAAAGATAGTAACATAAATTTATGGAAGGTGGGAAAGAGGGGAGGTGACAGCTGAGTGGTATTGTCACTGGATTGTTAATCTAGAGACCCAGATAATATTCTGGAGGTTTGAAACCGGGATTCGAATCCCACCACGGCAGATGGTAGAACTTTAATACTATGAAAATCTGGAATTAAGAGTCTAATGATGACCATGAATCCACTGTCAATTGTTGGAAAAACCCATCTGGTTCACGAATGTCCTTTAGGGAGGGAAACTGCCATCCTTACCTGGTCTGGCCTACATATGATTCCAAACTCTTAACTGCCCTCTGGCCAATTAGGGATGGGTAATAAATGCTAGCCTAGCCAGCGACACCCTCACCCCATGAGGGAATAAAAAAAAGCTGTTTAGCAAAGGGATTGCTGCTGTTTACTATTTATAAAAATGTGGACTAAAATCAGAACAATTTTACAATTTAAATGGTTTCACTATTTATAGTGCTATTAATTGGACAGCTGCATCAAATGCAGCATATAGGAAGACATTAACAAAATGCTTGTAATGGCATATGAATTTCTAAATAGCTATGTGCTATATCATAAGATATACAGTCACAAATGTAGAAAGTAACCACACCGCTTAGTAAGATTATAAAAATACAAACAAAGTACAAAGAGTTTGACCACTTTTGGAATACTCAACAGTTCTGGTCTTCATATTGTAAAAAAAGGGGAAAGAGGCTCTGAAGAAAGTAAAAATAAAAACTTACTTGGTTAATGCCGGAACTGCAAGGTCAAAATCTATCGAGAAGGACTGAACAGCCTGGGGTTTGACTTTGCAGAAAAGAGAAAGCCAAAAGGCGATCTGACAGGACTTTTTTAAATTATGGAGGGAATTTAAAGGGCAACTGTAGAGATGTTGTTTTCACTTGTGGGAAAGCCCAAAACCAGAAGTCTTAACTATAAGATAGTCACTGATAAATTAAATAAGGAATTCATGAGAAACTTCTTTACTCAGAAAAGGGTAGGAATATGACACTTGATTTAACACGGAATGGGTAAATAACATGCTTTGAAGTATTTAAGTGGAAACTACATACGTTTATGCGGGAGAAAGGAAACAAAAGGTGAAATCTGCTGCTTCCACATTGGTCAGCTTGAAGCGGGAAGGGCACTCAATGACAGAGAGTGGTGGCGTATACCACCTTCTTCTCATCTCTACCACCTGCAGATGGGCCTGTTGCCATTCAGCATGCCTTACAGCTCTCCTTTTTGGGCAGTTTGGAGGGGGAGGGTGTGGGGAAAGTGGACAGGGTCCCCTTGGCCAAAGGCAACCAGTACCTGATTGAATGACTGGTTATAGGACTGGATATTGCCCACAGGAAGCAACCCCATGATCTTGCAGCAGAACCCCTGGACACATTCTTGTGACCCTCAACCCAAGGACCCACCCCACTCTCCCATCCCACATTATATACACTTTGGCTTTGCTGTCCAGCGAACATGGCCTCCTCCATCGCACCGTTGAGCACAAGAGCTGCTGTGTCTGGTTGGCTGGCAGATCTTGCTGGCCAGAAGCTCTTGCTTCTGAACACTTGATTCAATGGGATATAAAGGGGTATCCTCACTAGTGCATGATTGGCTTGTAGCTGAATGGGCCTTCTCTGGAAGAGGCAGCGGGCCTTCTCTGGAAGAGGCAGTGGGCGTTTTTTACTGTTTCTCAGCTGGCTGATGAGGTTAATAAAAACCAAAAGAACTGTGGATGCTGTAAATCAGGAACAGGAACAAAAACAAAGTTGCTGGAAAAGCTCAGCAGGTCTGGCAGCATCTGTGGAGGAGAAAACAGTGACCCTTCCTCAGAACTGATTGTGGCTGGGAAAACGTCAGTTTATAAGCAGAAAATAGGGAGGTGGGTGGGGTAGGGATGTAGATGTTCTGCGAAGTGGTCGCCAAGTCTACGCTTTGTTTCCCCAGTGTAGAGGAGACCACATTGTGAGCAGCAAATGCAGTAGACTAGATTCTTGGAAGTGCATTTGAAGTGTTTGGCCCCTTGGATACTGGGGAGGGAGGAGGTAAATGGGCAGGTGTTGCACCTTTGCCGGTTACAGGAGAAGGTGCCGTAGGGCTGTGGGGAGGTGTTGGGGGTGAAGGAAGTGTGGACCAGGGTGTCCCGGATGAAACGGTCCCTGCGGAAGGCGGACATGGGAGGGGAGGGGAGGGGAATATGTGTCTGACACATCTACGTTCTGCTCGCAAAAAAGATCCTGAACTACCTGTTGCCTGCCACTTCAATGCACCACCCTGCTCTCTGGCTTGCTACAGTGTTCCAGTGAAGCCCAACACAAGCTGGAGGAACAACACCTCATTTTCCACTTGGGGACCCTACAGCCCTCCAGACTCAATATTGAGTTCCATAATTTTAGGGCCTAAACTCTCCCATGTCCCAGCCCCCCACCCCACACACCAGGCCTTGTTACCACATAGCCTACCACTACACACCCCCTGTTGTTAGTCACTAACAGTCCCCATTAACAACTACTCACCCTCCCAGCCTGATCGTTAGCAACTCCTTTGTCTGTCCAACAGTCTTTCTCTCTCTTGGGCTCTACCCTATTGTTTACTCCCTACCCCACCCACCTCCCTATTTTCTGCATATAAACTGACGTTTTCCCAACCACCATCAGTTCTGAGGAAGGGTCAACTGACCCGAAACGTTAACTCTGTTTTCTCCTCCACAGATGCTGCGAGACCTGCTAAGCTTTTCCAGCAACTTTGTTTTTGTGGTGATGAGGTTTCTGTCACTTTTACAGAATTTCACCTGAGGAATTGGGGAGAAACATAACATGTGTTGCGCTGAGTAGCTGTAAACTCTGTGTGGTTCTAGGTTTCTGAGATATGTTAATAGAAATCATCAAACAATGTGAGAATATGTTTTCGTATCGATGTGTATTTAACATTTGTACTTATAGCACATATATGCATATTTAACATTTATAACACACATACATGTCAAGATGTGTTTGTCTGTCTGTCTGTGTTATTAACTGTACCTTTAACCAGTTTTCTTCCTGAATCAGGTGCTGTTATGTTATGATTTGACCATGCCTGAATATGAGACCTTGGATGATCACAGCATAGCTGGAAGCGACAGTGTGGAGCCAGGTACAGTCTGAATCCACTCAAACCTTACAGTGGGCTAACTGCCAAATTCTAGATGCTGATTTCATTACCATCCCACACCATACAACCTCATACTCTTAAAAACCAATAAAAATACTGAAACTTCCTGACATTTCCATGAAGCCCGTACCAAATTAAAATCTCTCAATCAGCTTTGAACATTTCAGTTGACTCTTAGCATTCACAGCCTTTTCAGGAAGGGGTTTGCGATTTCCACTACGCTTTGAATAAAAAAAATTCTGATTTGACTGTTGAATGTTCTCGATTGTCTCCCTCATTCTGGCTTTCTACATCAGAGGAAATGAATTCTTTATACCCTGTTGAAGGATTAAATCATTTCAAAGATTACAGTTAGATCACCTCTCAACTTTCTAATTTTATAGCAAATTAAAAATCGAGTTAGTGTAATTAATCACCTTGATTTAATCATTTTAGTCTGGTATCAACACACAAATGAGAAATTCCAGTGTCAGGACTGCCACATCTAAATGAAATGGTGAGACCCATCCTAACTTATAAACTTTTATAGTACAGAAGGCCAGTTGGCCCATTGTACCCATTGCCAGCCAACAAAGGTCTGACTACAATAAGAGACAGTAAAAACTGCCGATGCTGGAGTCAGAGATAACACAGTGTGGAGCTGAAGGAACACAGCAGGCCAGGCAGCATCAGAGGAGCAGGGCAGTTGATGTCTCGGGTTGGGACCCTTCCTCAGAAAATCCCATTTTGCAGCTTTAGGCCCACAGCTCTGGAAGCATGTGGAAACATAAGTGAGTATCTTAACACTGCTTAAATGTCACAAGAGTTTCTGACTCAACTGTTCTTTCAGACTCCCACCATCCTCTGAGCAAAAGAATGTCTCCTCAGCTATCCTCTTAATCTTCTACATCTTATACTAAAACTATACCTCCTGATTATTGACCCCCTTCCGAGCAGAGACAGTGACATCCTATCCATACTACCTATGCACCTCATCATCTTATCCACCTTTATCGTATCCCCTCTCAACCTTTACAGCTTCAAGAACACAGCCCAGTCTTGTCTTTCAGCCTCCAATATTTCCTCATGGATCTGAGCCTCCAGGCCAGGTAAATGTCTGCACCTTCTCAAGTGCTATCACATCACTTCTATAATGTGGTGACCAGAACAGCGCAGAGTACTCCATCTGAGATAGTAGGAACTGCAGATGCTGGAGAATCCGAGACAACAAGGTGCAGGGCTGGATGAACACAGCAGGCCAAGCAGCATCATAGGAGCAGAGAGGCTGACGTTTCGGGCCTAGACCCTTCATCAGAAAAGGGGGAGGGGAAGGGGGTTTTGAAATAAATAGGGAGAGAGTGGGAGGCGGATAGAAGAGGGATAGAGGAGAGGATAGGTGGAGAGGAAACAAACAGGTCGAAGAGGCGGGGATGGGGCCAGGAAAGGTGAGTGTAGGTAGGGAGTTAGGAAGGGGATAGGTTGGGGACCGGGGAATTGGAAGTTCTGGAGGAGGTGGAGGGCGT